ATGTCATAGAAGTCTGTTTAGTAAAATTGTGGGGGATAGACGAGCAAGCTGGATGGGGGTTAAACACTCAATGAGTTTCATTTGGAAGCTTTCTCAATCCATGGAAGTGAAGGAATTAGGGCCCAACTTCTTCCAGTTCATCTTTCAAAGCAGGGACGACCTCCAGAAAGTTCTTAGCGGCACAAACTAGAGCTTAGACAATCAGTACCTGATTTTAAAAGAATGGAGAGATGGCATGTCCAGCAAGCATCCATGTATCCAGGAGCTCAACATTTGGGTACAGGTACTTAATGTTCCTCTTAACTGGATGAGTACTGAGGTTGGAATCAAAATTGGGAAAGTTTGTAATGGGGTGGATAATGTGGTTGTAGTTAGCTCTGGCAGTCATGGAGGCAAAATCCTCAGGCTCTTAGTATCTTTGAATCTCAATGAACCTCTCCCTCGTTGCTCGAATGTTAGGTTGGGGTATCAAGTAGTTAAAATCAGTTTCAGATATGAAAGGTTGATGAACTTATGCCATTACTGCGGGTATATTGGCCATGTAGACAAAGGATGCCTCAAAAGAATTGGGGATATCAAGTCTAATACTGTCAAAGAGGGTCAATTTGGTGACTGGCTAAAAGCTCCTGAAGGGCAAAATTGGGTTGAAGTCAGCAGCTCTGGTTCCAAGATTCCACATTCTTCTAATGTCCAGCCTTCTACTTCAGATCAAAGATCCCAGCATCACACCATGGCAAGTCAAAATGAGCAAAGGCAGCAACTTATTGTTCATCAAGCAGCAAATGACTCATCTCCTAGTTCCCAGAATGCCACCAATAAACCAACTGGAGCAGATCTTGTTAATCCTCAGATTCATGAACCTGTGAAACCAATGGAGGTGGAACCTGTAACTCCTTCTTTGACATTAGCTATCTTTCCTCAGATTTTGAATAAAGGTAAAAGCAATCTGAAAACTTGGAAAAGAGTAGGGGCAAAGGAAAGAAGACTTCAGAGACAGGAAATCATATCTCCTCAGCATGTTAGTCATACTCTCAGTAAAAGGGTAAGAATAGAAAACACAATGAAGAAATCAGTGGGTGAAGATCAAGTAGTTTTGGACTCTGAAAAAAAGAAGTTGAAAGTAGTTGTAGAAGAGGTGGGGGTGGCCAGTCTGGAATGGCACCTAAGTGAACCATACTAGCTGTGGTGTGGAACTGTAGAGGGTTGGGTGGGCCCTCTACAGTTTCCCAAATCAGAGGGATTATTAAATCTCACCACCCAGCTTTTATTTTTTTGTCAAAAACCCAAAAAACCAATGGCTTTGTTAAATCGGTTATTAGAAAACTAGGCTTTGAGGATAGATTTTCCCTTGTTGATAGGTTTAAGTGGAGGCCTTTTGCTGCTTTGGACCTCTTCAGTTACTATTCTTCAAACTTATAGTACAAATTTTTGTATTGCAGTTCATTTTCAGCTTTCCTCTGCAGACCCACAGTGGGGGATTTTTGTGTATATTAGTACTTGCAGGGTTATCAGGGCCACTAAATGGATTGAGCTGGAATCTGAAAAGAGAAATTGGGGCAATCAGTGGTTCATGGCGGGAGACTGATATGATATTTGTTTTCGGACTGAGAAGATGGGTGGGGTTCCTAGATTAGATAGCAGTCTTTTGGGTTTTAATGACTTCATCAACAATATAGAAATGGAGGAAATTGGTATGGTGGGATATCAGTTCACCTGGTGTAACAATAGAGCTAAGGATGGCATTGTAGAGGAAATACTGGATAGGGCATTTGGCTCCATGACTGGTTACACTCATTCCCTAATGCCAAAGGCCTTAACATGGTTACTAGCTCCTCTAATCACTCTATTCTTTTTGTTTTTCCTGGGAAGCCTAAAGATATAAAACATAAAAGGTTCCATTTTGACAAGAGGTGGGTTGGCAAGGAAGGATTACTAGAGGTGGTTACAAAAGCCTGGCTTCTTCCAGTCTCAGGCACTCCATTTTTTAAACTCAAAGAGAAGGTCAAGCACACCAGAGCAGCTCTCCTCACTTGGATTTCTCAGTTCCAAACTCAGAATCAACTCCAAATTGAAAATCTCACTCAGAACTGGAGGTTTTGAGATAAAATAAAGCTGCCACCAACTGGGATGAATGGAACTTTACCAGGATTGATCTTGAAAAAGCTCACCATTATGAGGAACACAGGCTTCGAAGCAGTTATTTAAGGCGGGAGTTTCTTATTGACAGCAGAAAGTCAGAATGAATTGGCTCAGACATGGAGATTGCAACTCTAAGTTTTTTCGTGCTTAGACATTGCAAAGAAGGAGAATGAATGCTATCTCCAGATTAATCTTCTCCGGAGGACAGGAACTCACATCTCAACAGACAATTCAATCTCATATATCTAAATTTTATGCTTCACTATTCTCAACATATGGATCCTGAGGGGTGACTCTCTATTGAATTTAATCCCTCAAACCATACCAATTGAAATGAATCAAAACTTGATGTTGCCAGTGGATGAAGCAGAGGTTAAAGCAACACTTTTTAGTTTACCTCCAGATAAGGCACCTGGTGAAGATGGTATGAGTGCTTTCTTTTATCAACACTTCTGGCATTTAATTCATCATGACTTCATTGTTGCTGTAATAAGTTTATTTACTTCTGGCCAATTGTTGCAATATTGTAATCACACTATTTTGTCTCTGATCCCTAAATGTCCATCTCTTGATACTCTTAGCCAATTTAGGCCCATAAGCTTATGTATTGTGGTTTACAAGGTTATTTCAAAGGTACTTGCTCAGAGGTTACAGACCTGCTTGGCTAACTGCATTAGTGCTTAACAATCTGCTTTTATCAAAGGTATGCAGCTATTGGACAATGTGATTGTGGCACAGGAAGCCTTTCACTTTTTGAACAGACATGCTTCTGGTAAGAATTTTTTCATGGCTCTCAAGCTAGACCTCATGAAGGCATTTGACAGAGTTGAATGGCTCAGCCTTAAAAAGATCATGATTCAAATGGGGTTTCATTTAGATTTTGTTAAATTAATTATGGCTTGCATCTCTACTACATCCTTATCTTTCAAAATTAATAGGGAAGTCAGTGGATACATATCCCCAACCAGAATAATTAGACAGGAGGATCCTCTTTCCCCCTATCTTTTCATCATTATTGCAGAACTCTTCTCAGCTCTTGTGTTGGATGCTTGTAATTCTAATCACCTCAAGGGATTAAAACTGTCTCAGAATGGTCCATCTATCTCTCATCTTCTATTTACAGATGACTTATTATTCTTTTGTAGGGCTGGAGTTGATCAAGCTCATGTGCTCATGGACCTTTTGAATAAATATAAGTTGTTTACTGGCTAAGCAATGAATCTTCATAAATCTGCTATTTTCTTTAGCAGGAACACTCCAAGCCCCATTCAGAGGAATATTTGCTCAGTTTTCCAAGGGATTCAACCACACAAATCCACCAGATATCTGGTTTTGCCTTTGGGCATTGGCAGATCAAAGAAAGAGGTTTTTACTTACCTCCTGGAATCTATTCAAGGCAAACTTCAAAGCTTGAAATCCAAACTCTTGACTTCAGCTGGAAAAGCAGTGCTTTTGAAATCAGTTCTTCAGGCCTTACCCATTTTCACTATGTTCTGCTTTAAATTACCTGCTTCAATTTGTACTGCCATCTCCAGTCTTTGTGCAAATTTCTGGTGGAACTCAAATGCAGAAGAAGCTAAGGGCATTCATTGGAGGAGTTGGGATAAGCTGACAATTCCAAAGCTAGATGGGGGTTTAGGTCTGCTGGATATCAAACTTTTCAATAAAGCCCTCATTTGTAGGCAACTGTGGCGGATAACGGCCCACCCTGATCTACTTGTAAGTAAAGTCCTAAAAGACATGTACTTTCCCAATTCCTCTATTTTCAAGGCTGTTAAAACTCAAAAGATCTCTTGGCTTTGGAACTCATGGTTAGATGAGCTGCCTTTTTTTTTCTAAATGGCTGAGAACTGAGATTAGAGATGGTGCTGCTACTAGAATTGTTGATTGTAATTAGGTGCCTGTTGAAACCCAAACCAGACTTATTGGATATTGCAAGGGAGTGTAATGAATGGTTGATAAAGCAAGTCTTTAACTCTGAGGACAGCTCTGCCATTTTGAGTATTAATTCTTTGAAACCTGATAAACCTGACAGAATCTTTTGGGCTCTGGACAAGAAAGGCGAATTCTCAGTTGTTAGTACCTATGCACAATTGGTCTCCTTGAAAGTTTTGTCACTAGACCAGCCAGGGTGCAGTCTTACACCTAACCCATGGCATTCAACTCTTAAGAGAACTTAGTCCTTGAAAGTGTTGATGAAGATCAAAATTTTCATTTGGAAATGTTTCACAGGTACACTGCCTGTGCTGGTAAATTTGAAAAGCGGGGGTCTGGACCTAGATGTGATTTGCAGATGCTGTGAGGAATCACCTGAGACTATTGAACATGTTCTTCTGAAATGTCCCAGAGCAAACACAATCTGGAATTTAGCTCTTGTCTCATGGCCAGGGATTTTACAACACACAGGTTCTTTTAGAACTTGGTGGCACCATGTCTGCAGTGTAGATCACTCAGAGGTAGCAGAGCAGAGAATTCAATTGTCCACTTATTTGCTCCGATGGCTCTGGAAGACTAGAAAACCAATGGATTTTTCAAAAATCACTCTCTCCTCCTCATATTGTAATCAAAGCAGCTCTTTCAGACTGGAGGGACTTCACAACAGTTTCTTCTTCTCATTCTAGTTTCATTTGTTTTTTCTTTGAGTTTTTGTTTTTGTTGAAGGGGCAGGCAGTTATGCTAGGCTTTGTACCAGTGGTAAAACTCTTGTCCTTTTGGTTTGTTTTCTAGTTATTTGATGTGTTTAGTAGAGGTTCCAGGCCATCTTGTTGATGTGCCTCTCAAGTTGTTCTTATTATTGGATGATATTGTATTCGAACTTTGTTCGCTTTTAGTTAATACTTAATAACATTATCTATCGTTCTGATAACAAATAATATTGGAAAGCGCAAATAAACATTTTACACGCGAGAATCCAACTAGATACAAACCACCCCCAAAGTACAAGAGCACCTATAGTCCATCAAGAGCCAACTTAGCTAACACAAAGCTAGAAACACACACCTGGATCAAAGACAAACAAGCAGTCCACAAAGCTCTCAGCTAGCCTTAAAATGACAAGTTAAGAATCAAACAAACCTAAACATAACAATTAGCAAAGCTCGATGATGTTTCAAACAATGAGACAAAGCTCTAACATGTTTAATTGGAACTTGATAAAATTTGTAAGAATCTTAAACAACATTATGTACTTTTAACACAGTTCTGGCTGTCTAAAACCATAAGAACAAGAAATGAAGGATATAAAGTAGTTTCAGGTGCTCTTAACATGGATCCCTCTTTCACATCTACAATAAATTCTAAACAAGATGGGGAAAACCCAAAATTTTGTTCAGCAGATATTAGTTTATTTTATCATAACCTTTGCCACAATGAAAACAGAAAATGGCAGCATAAGATAGCAATCGCTCTGCATGGCTTAAGCATATCAAGGGTAAGATTAGTCAGCCATCGAGCCCCATCACATAAGCCACTCAAACACATTTTGGTGGAGCATAAAGGACGCCTTCTTCTTCACAAATATTCTGCGAAACAAATCAAAAAATACCAATTCAAAATTAGCAACTTGAATGAGAAACTACAAAAAAGTTTACTGCATGCACAGAAAAGAGGTATGATTCTGATATTTTGCTAGGATTTAACCTCCAAGAAAGAAAGACAGTTTTAAAAGAGCATTACCTGCAAGTCTTGAGGGAGTACTTCAGAGACACCGAGTGTATAACAACCAGGAACAAACTTCCCTAAAAGTTTAAAAAGAGTTACACACAGCTGAAATCACCCAAAATCCTGATTTTTCATAATGAACAACAGAAAATAGGGGGGGTGGGGGTATTATGATATACTTGTTCTTCATAAAACTATTTAATGAGAACATATCATGCTGAATAAGTTAGTTTTCATGGGACACGAAGATGTGAAAATCATAAATAATCAATCAAAATCATTCAGGTATGCCCTCATATAGAGTATTAATGTAGCAAAGAAAGGAGTTTCTGATAACATACATGTTATGCATCAAATAATAAATGAGAAAATACAATACCAACTAGTTGATGGGGAGCTAAATTCTGAAGTTCATAAACATTCAATTCAAATCTTTCAATTATGTGATCGTAATTATCAGATCTAAAGGTAGACTTCACAGAGACCTCTCTTACAGACACTGTTCACGCCAACTAAATTTAGCTTTGTTGACACACAGCTTATCTTAATTACGTAAAACTTTACAAACTTAAGAATTTTAAGCCATCACAACCTGCATTTGTTCTACTATTCGTCTGGAGGCATATCAAATTCAGCATCGAAACTTTTATCGAGTCGCTAGCAAGATTAGAACATATTTTCGCCTCTCTAAGAAAATATAATATTAATATTATATATATATATATACTTGCAGAGATTCTCCAAACATTTTCTAGTGCACAGAGCACAAATCCACACGACCGACAAAACAACGCATACTTTAACTGTTTACATATCTTGAGACCAGATAAAGGTTTTTATCACCATTCAACTTGTTCGGAGATAAAATGACCAAAAAATTAGTAATATGAATGTTATTGCGGAAACGCAATAACAAGCAACGCACCAGTACGGAGCCACTTAGAAGCCCAGCTTCTAGCTGGATTCATAACCGAAATTACCCTATGAACAAAAAATTGTAACAGATTTCAGTGAAGAAATAAAAAATCTGCACTGAAAAATTTTCCATTGGTTCCAAAAAAGGGTTGATCAAGAATAAAAACAAACCCAGAAATATTTGTCGTCGTGCAGTCCACGACTCTATCATGATCGTCCTCCATCTGAAAGAAAGGGCAGTTCTCACATCCCGATGCCCTAAACTGCATTATTCACATATATATGTTTCCATATTAGCAATAATAATAATGATGTAAAGAAAAAAGTTAAGGTCAATGTGTTTGAATATGTAGAAAAGCTAAACCTGATCATAGGTTTTCACAAGACGGCATCTAAGGCATGCCCTGAGCTCGTGTCCAAAGCCTGTCGGTATTTGAGCAATCACTACTCCTTGATTTGTCATTGTTTTGTCCGGCTTCCTTTATGAGTAAGATAAACAGCTAGTTACCAAATTATTATTCACGGGAGTAAGATAGCGTTTTTCCAAGTAATGTCACTATCAGTCGACATGACGGTATTTTCAAATTATTCGAAAATATGCAGGCTAATGAAAACCAGGACAGTCTAATAGTATATGAAAACCACTCTCCTAGGTTTTTATCAAGAACATTGGTAGGATAAACAAGACAACGAAAACTCCCCCAGTTTCTGTTGTCAATCTTCTTAGTTCCTAAAAATTATGCAACAACTAACANAATCAAAGATATGGGTTACGGGAAAATCAGCAAAGATATGTGAACAGTAAACCTAAACACACACACACAAACATACAAGTAAGTAATTGCATCATAACCCCGTTGGTGTCTCTCTGTACGTAGAAAATCAAGACAATACAACTGAACACGAAAAAAAAAAGGAAAAAGAAAAACAGACAGTACTTGAGACTTCGGGACCAGCAACAATACAGAACCTGCGCAGTCGAAAGCACAAAGCACCGTCCGAAGGTTGAAGACGAGTTTAATCGCGGGTTTTGGGAGGATTTTTATGGAAAAGGGGCTATGTCGGCTGGGAAGACTAGACAAGATTATGGGCTTAATTTGGGCTCAGTCTTATAATTGTTTTCCACCCGCTTGACAAGATGAGGCCTGCGACCCATAAGCCTCAGTCCGTAATCTGCCATAATTTGGGCAAATTTATTTTATTTTATTTTATTTTTTTTGGGCAAAGTAGCTACGTTTGCTCAGTCTTAATTTGGGCAATTTATTTATTTTTGTTTATTTATTATTATTATTATTTTTTTTTTTTGCTTCACAGTTTTGCTAAATTAGTGTTTTGCCTGCTCATGTGTAAAATTGTATATAATCTCTGTTTTGACCAAATGAATGTAAAGGTAAAAATGTAAATTTATGATTATATCACAAGTCAAACAAATGCAAGATCAAATTTATTCCCAAAGCTATCTCATTGTCAATCTTGTCGAACAAACATAGAACCATTGTAGTATAAAAAGTACAATCTTATCTCTCCAAATTAAATTAATCTAATCTTATCTAGGCAAACAAAGTTGGTGTATGATGAAGTTGGCAAAATTAATAAATATAATATTGGAATATAGTGGACGATTTTATTTGAGGTATCTGATGACCATTTTTATTTTTTGATAGGTAATGTGTTGTTATTAATAAATGTCTGAATTTTATGGTATAAAGTGGGCAATTTTATTTTAGTATGAAATTTATGAATTATATACTTGGTATGAATAGAAATGTATTTGGAAATTTTGAAAACAGAATAATTGGTATTAATTTTATTTGATATGAGTATGAGAGTCGAATTAGTAAGTTGTTATAAAATCAAGGTGATGTGATTTTCTAATTTGGAATTGAGTTGGTCTTGCATGATGTAAACATTTGAGTGAATGCACTTGTAAGTAGATACATATAAACAATTTGAGTCGACAAAGTATTTATATATCAAGTTCGAAGATATATTATCTAAAATAAGTTGCGGGACGTTAGTTTATATATTCCATACAATTAATTAAGTTTATTGATTTTCCCCATTGTTTAATAAGTTAAAAAAAAGGAAGTAAAACATTTAATTAATGGTTGAACAACTATAATAGTTTACCACCAACAATAAAATGCACTCACTAATGTTTTTACTCATTCTATCAACCTCGATTCAAATATATAATTTTACGAAAATAATTATTTTACGGAATCACATTGTATTCAAATTGAATTTCTGAATAAAAATTTTAAAATGACACTTATTTTGAAATGAATATAATATAATTTCTTATAAGTTACGTGCACCGTACGGGTAGTGTACTGATTTCAAAAGACATGTTTTATGTAATTTTGCACAATTGAAATTTCATATAACATTTTTAATAAATTAATTTAGGTTTTTGTATTACATATTGATTTCATATTTTTAATTTATAAATATTATTTAATGAGCATTTTAATTTATAAATATTAATAAATATATTTTATATGTGCATTGCACGAGATTCATATTATTTAGGTTATGGTGTAAACAAAATAATCATGATAAAAAATATATATGAAGAAATCTTTTTCGTGCATCAAATTATTTTATTTAGTAAATGTTCATCTTATTGGAGACTTAGATTCTTTCATTTGGGATTAAAAAAACAAGAATTTTATGGACCCATCGAATGACTCCCTTATGAAGCCATCCATAATTTTGAATCTCGACTTTTTTACATTTAAATTACAATTTTTTTTTGCCATATTTAAATTACAAATTGAAATATATAAATATATATATATATGTATTATATTATAATTTTAAAATAATCCTTTCATTTTTTTTAAGTTCCAAAATAATCCTTTTCTTTTTAATTTTGAGAAACGGGTGATTTTCTCAGGTTTCCCTCCCAAATAAATTCAAAAATATGCGTTTTTATATTGATGTAGAAAAATCAATGGTTTATATTGACGAGAATACTGCCACTTATGTCAGCAAAAATGATCTTCACACAAAAACTTTCAAATTACTCTAAAATAAGCAAAGAGCGGCACATGAAACCTATGGCACCCAGAAATATTAACTACTCAATGAAACTACAGCATGTTGCACAGACGACACACAAACAAAAGAAGTTACAAGTGCTTTTCTTCATACTATTCTTATCTCTATACAAGTGCTCAAACAAACAAAAGGTTTTGCAGTTATATATCTGCACATTTTATGGATAAAAGGAGCCGTTTGGGTCATTCAACGACAGCATCAGCAGTGACTTTGTTGTAAAGCCGGTAGAGAAGTGTAGATCTCGACATTTGAGGTTCTCTTTCTAAAATTGCAATCACGTCCTTAACCGATATGCTTCTAACCACCCGCGGTATAACAACTTGATTTCTTCCCATTTTTCTAACTGATGCTGGGTCAAAAACAAATTGAGATCACAACATTAATACAATAATAACATTTTTAGAGTCTACTTGACACATCTAACCAACCAAAAAATTCCAAACCATTTTCATTAGGGATAATACACTGACTCGGGCATGAAAGTATGAAAACAGTAGCTTTCGGTCAAGCATGCCACATTTTAGGCAAAGGATTTATGTGCTAGAAGTAAAATAATATTAATAACCGATACAAAAGTACCCTGACGCTGAACAGTCAAAGAACCACACTAGAAGTTCACTCTGTTTCACACTTTGATCCAATTCGAACCACATGTTGACTGAAATCATGTTATAGATATTTTAAAGATCCATTCCTCAACTTTTTCATATGTTATAACTTAATTTTCATCCAGCTTTTCCAACTAGAAACCTTGAGGGATGGAAATGTAACGGAAAGTTGGAATCAATAGATTTAAACAAAAGTTAAGGGTTGTAATTATGTCAAAATCTAATGAAGTTAGCAATTTCCATGGCATCCTTAACCGCAACTGTTAACTGTAAGAAAAATGTAACCTCAAGGGTATCTTTTGAATTCTGGGTTCCCTTTCTTTTCTCTAAATAGTATGTCCCCAAACATAGAGGGTTGTTATTGCAATCAACTCTAATAAAGACAACAATAATATTTACCCTTCAAAATTAAAAATACCCCTTTGAAGTTTGAAGTACTTGAATTTGCATTTTCTTTACTAAAATCCCATCACAACGGATATCAAGAAGTATCTGTAATATTCAAAAAAGCGCTAATCATTTGACTGCTACAGCTCCCAAGAAAGCCAAACTTACCAGGGGTTGCAGCCGAAGGATCTCGTCTGTCAGCTTCTTGATTTTCCCTCGTTTTCTTCAATGATGTCGCAGAAGACTTTCGGGCCGCCACTTCCTTTACGGGCTGAGGGCCTGATAGTGAATCTGAGCCTCCCTGTTTTTGCTTGGCTTCAATCATTAATTGCCATCTTGACAGCATGTCATCAACACCAGTGGCTGCTCGAACAGCAACATTTGCAGCCGTAGTCCGCATTTTATCGTCTTCCTCCTTGTTAGCCTGCAAATGAAAAGATGTAGAAAAAAAAATAATTATGTTTAGAATAATATGACAAATAAGCTCCGGTTTTATCTTTAAAAATTAGATATGCCCCTGCTTACCGTGTTGCCGATTGTAGAATAGAAACAAATGCCAAGGGAATATGTACTTTTACGAGATTAATTAGGTTCTATCGTAATTAGGCAAAAATATTCGACGACTTGAGTGCTACATTCAGCATAACATGCAGTTGAATCTCAATACCTTTGCAGATTTTCCACGGGTTTCATCTTTATCCTTGTCACCGTCAACTCCAGAAGCATTCTCAGTCTGCATTTCATATATATTATTTTTCGGTACAGGATTCAGAGTTTGTGCCAAAATAGGCAAAAAACGATATTAAATTTATTATGGATGATTAATTACTTCATTTGGTTTTTGGGACTTCTCAGTTTCAGCCTGTTTTTTGTCCCACTCTTTGCGAGCTTTGTGGTTTATAGTCAAGATTTGTCGTCTAACATCTGAGGTGACAATAATTTTGTGTCTTGGCTTCTCAAAATCAACTCGCTGCAAAAATTAGGAAAAAATGCTGAGAACTAAGATCTCTTACCGAGAAAACGAAGCGAACTTCGATCAATAAAGAGTTGATAAGAAGAAAATAGATACACTGAATTATAAGAATAGAAAACTAACCTGCTTTGAGAGTCTGATGAGATTAGATATGAGTCCCCGCATTCTCTCTTCCACACACTAAAGAACAGTGTCAAAAAAACATAAATAGTTAAAAAAAATTAGGGCATGCTTGTTTATGAAATAATTTGCTCACATTTATTTCACACTCAAAATCTAACTCAACTTTAACTCAACCCCACTATCATTAATATTATTTATATAACTAAATATTATAAACCAATCATTCTTACATATCACATCAACTTTAATTCACTATTCATCCACTCACATAATTTTAACTACCAATAATTTCCAATCATTTATATCCTACTTTTACATCAAATCAATAACAATCATTTTATTTTAAATATTATTTCAATACATTACTAAAATCCCACAAACAACTAACTCTACCATCTTTTTTAAATTTAACTCTAGTTAATCAAAATAACTTATTTTGAGCAAATTATTTCATAAACAAGCATGCCCTTAGTAATTGAAAATTTGTTTAAATTATCACGGACAGTTAAGATATGAGAATATCACTTTCTCTCAAATTATGAGTCTCAAAACACTTACTAAGTGCCAAAATCACTTGCTTAGGCAACACAGTCCCAATACTAACATTATTAGAAAAGTACGCAGTGCATAATTATGTCAACCACTATCTTACCAAGGATAAGCATCGCTCCACGTCATTGGTCATATTCTTCAAACCACACTTTGCCACTACAAGAAAGCATACAAATTAATTTAACCATCAACCTTTATNAAAAACCCAGAAATTGATTGAATCAAGAAACAGAATCTGCTCAATTAAGAAATACTAACTTATTTCCACCACTTTCTTCTGAAGTGGTATCTTGTTCAGAATCAGTCTTTCCTCTTCTTCTTGAACAACCCTTCGAGAAGCCTCTGAAACCCGGCTGTCTTCCTTAGCGCCAGAAAACAATTGTTCCTCTTCCTCCTGTTAAAGAACTTACCACATAAGACACAGCAAAATCCATAATATATTTCAAATGCTACAAGCAAAAAACTATGGTGTATGGCACACGGGAACGTGATTCTTTTCCTCGTAAATCTGTAAATTTGATTGAGGAACGCTTACCCTTAGATTAACTCCGCTAACTGCAGTAACATCATTGAGATGCTCAATGCTTTGATCCAAAAAGCCTCCAGACACTTTTTGCTTCTTACTACTGGAATGAGAATAAAAATCAATTGGCCAGCTTAAAAACTTCATATCCAAGCAAATGTTTCTGTCAACAATAAATGGAGATACCTTGGAGGAGAAGAACCAGGTGGTTCCATTTGCTTCTTCTGACCAGCCAAAGGCTTTTTGGGGGCAGCCTTCGAATTATTTCCAATTCCCATGGAGGGTGTTATTGAACGGGGTTGTGACTGACAAAGACCGAAAGGAAGCGGCAAAAGGATGAAGTACAGCTATTATTACGGGATAATTGCAAATAACAATCACAATCAAATACTCTGATACTGAACAGCTCAATAAACAAATGTATCTATATCATGAGAATCACTACACTTAAGAATAGACAATCAGAAAAACAAAGAAAGAAAACCGAAGGCTACAGTTTTGGATGTATATGAGAAAATTAACCCGAATGAGAAACACGTTAGAAAAGGGTACTCTTCCCAAAGATAAATATATATATGTATGTGTGTGTGTGTGTGTCAATCAATAAGGACACCAAAAAACTGTGGTTTCTTCAACTTTGTTGAGGTAGTTAAAATGAATCAAGTCCTAACTCACTGAAGAAACAACTATTCCACACGGATAGCAACACAATGAAACTGCAGGGAACAGGAGTAAATAACATGAGTAGAACAACCTAGGCATAAACCTAACATGAAGAGTCAAATAAGATGTCCTCTGATACTCATAAACCATGAGCAGCAATACCTGGTTTGGATATAATAATTTTTTTTTTTTTTTTNAAATCTGAATGGGGAGTGATGCAAAGCTTCAGAGTATTAGAGCCAAAAATGTGCACAAATAAGGAAACTCATCTATCTATTTTAAAAATGCAGGATCAGAAAAGGCGCAAGGGAACCAGCAAGTGCTCTAGTACCTGAATGTCCATTGGGCTTGGATTTGAAGAGGAAACAGAATTCATGGAGACCACATTCGTAGACGGAGCAAATCCCATCCTAGATGATTGCATCTCAAAAGGTTCATTCTTCAAATTACCAGAGGCAGCACCACCTTGCTTAAGCGGTCCACGGGACAAGGAAGTTGACCCTTGCAGGGCATTATGCTGTTCAACTGGCTGATCAAGGTTTTCTTGTTTCACATGCGTCGTTGATGGAGAAACACCGGTTTTCTGCTGCACGTGAGACAGACCTCCCTGCTGCATTTTCTTGGCTTCACCAAGAGGATGGGCCCGGTCAAAATTGGACGGGTGTAGCATGCCAGTGGGTGCAGCCGTGTGTCCCAGGTGATTCATGGGTATGTTCTGGTGCGTTGAACCCTGCCTCATATGAGGTGCAGTATTAGGTGTGGTGAAAGGTGGATAACTATTTGCTGTGGATCCGTATGTGGGGAAAGATGCCTGCGATAAATGCATATTATGTGGTTGCTTGTTAAGTCCTTGTCCAGGAAAAGAAGAATGCTTTCGGTCATGGGTTAGGGAACTTGGACTGGGGGTTGGCATATGGCTTGCTTGCAATCCCGGTGAATCCGTCTGCGTTTCTTCACGTGTATTGACATTGCTTGTTGAACTGCTTACATCTGTTATCATTCGTGAGGCAAGAAGCAAAACAAGAATTTTGTTAGTGAAGGAGGTCTGTCTATATAGAAATGGTTAAAAGTTATAGCTTGGGTTTTTAGGGAAGGATTTGTACTACTTGATGGAAGTTGCATTTGTCGGGCAGAAGTCTGAGGCTGCGACTGAAATTGATTGGAAGCAATCTGTGTGTTCTTGACATCCTGATTTTTCATTTTCAGAAGTTAGTAAAACTCAAATATTCAAGTCAAGCATAAAATGCATCAAATAACAATTTTTTTCATCACATGCCTGTGTCTGCAGCTTAAATACGGCCATCTTTAACATCTGGTCCCCAACGATACTTCTCATGTGTCGGATAAAACCATCTTTAGAGATCTCATTTTTCTGGAAACAGATATAAAATGTAGTTATCAACAAACATTCCATAAAAACTACAATTTTACAAAGAGATATCAACAGCTAAAGCACCTTCAGTTTAAAGTAAAGTGTGTGAAGCTGCATAGCCCTGTCCTTGTCAAGTTGGGGTTGTATTATAGGAAGCAACATGCCAAATGGCACCTGTCTGTTCAACTTCAACGAACTACCTTGCTGTTTTTGACTACCACCTGCCATTGACTGTTGATTATTCAATCCAGAAGTCATCGCCTGTTGGCTACTAATCACCGTCCCTACAGTTTGCTGATCTTTGGACTCCATCAACAAAGGCCGTTGATCATTTGAACCCATCCCCATGACCGAATGATTACTGATATTTTGTAGTTTCTCCATTTGGGACTCTCTTTCCAGATTGGATTCGCTATCCACGTCATGGATATGGATCGGCTGTTCTCGAGATGTTTGAGCAGCCATAGGATTGGAGGCGGGAACATTTTTCCCATCATCTTGCCGTTGTGAACTAGCTTCCGTGGACGGGTTATGTGGAAAAGCGTCCTCCTTTCTATTCTCAGGCTCAAAAATGTGCTGTTGTTGACTAGATTGAGAAGGGAGCTGTTCCTTTTCCTCCATGGCCTCAATATCTTGCCCAGTTTGAGAGTTAACAATTCCGTCTTGAGTTGAAGTCTGCCACTGTGGAAGAAAATGACTTGCGGTTTCACTGCCTCCGTGAGAAATGGCTCCTGTATTTGTTGAAATCAAGCAAGGAAGGAAAAGTTGCGTTCAATTGATCATTGATAACAAAAGAACACCAACAATTTGGTCTACATACAACTTTTGATGAAAGCCTGCCTGCTTGTTGTCTGTTAATTATAGAACTTCAATATCATATCTCAATACTATGGGGCATAGGTAAAGTATAAACTGGAAACCATAACTTCCAAAGAACCTTTTTATAGTATATATCAATTACAGTTCCTTTTTTCGGGAAAAATAGAAGCTGCTAAATTATCAACTCCATACATGGAAATGCGTTAGATATACAACTGATCCGAATAACTGAACTCATAAACACATATTATGAAGGAACACGACACAACACGGTTTAGAAATCAAGATTACAGAGAAGGCCTGACACAACGTGGCAAGACCCGAATACAAAATGCACGAAATAAAAATTCAGTTAAATTTGGACTTATTAGCATATTTATGATCAAACAAAACAGATAACATGAAAGCACAACAGTGAAACAAGGACATGAACATGACACGGTAACATGATTTGCCACATTTAGTCTGGAACAGATGATGGGCCGTATATCATATCTAAAGAAATAAATTACAAAAACATGAGACGTACGACCTGGTACATTTACTTAATTCCAAATCTCTGCATCCACTCAAACGATCAAGTAAGCTAAATTGTACATTTTTCTCAGATCTTGAAAGGAAATGAAAGCCTAAGCACAGAAGAAGGAAGAAAAACTAAAGTTATTGGTTAGTTTAGTTACCAATGAATGATAACCAACCCCATTTTTATAAGCTTATCTATAAGTTTATTATCTCCACTTGAGCAATCTAGAGATGGGAGTCATAAGGTATACTTGTATGGTGATTCAAAAAGCTCCTCCTAGAATCTGAAATGAGACTTTTGGAGTGGTCACATTATTAGTGTTCAGGCAATGGATTAACATATCTTTACTATCACATTCGAAAATAACCCGGCCATTCATGGAACGTGAGAAGCAAATGATTAACCTATCGTGAACATACGATTTATTACTGGCAAAGAATCATAATTTTATTGTACAAAAAAAGAATGAGATGGAAGTCATAGCTCCATTAACTCATTCTATCACAAAATTTGAGTTCTTGCAACAATCCAGGATGAAAGTGATATCTCAAATTTAGAGAAATCAACATGATTGACACACACTCATTCAAGATATTTGCTCTGCCAGCTTCTGAAACGGTCGCACAAGTACAGATACCTACTTTGACTACTCTGACGTACCAAGCAGATCATGTCGTTGACAGCAGAACTAAATCACACACTGATGCCAGATCACAAAATTTTCAGGCCAAAGCAACTTCACATTCAATTAAAGACCCTACACTTCCAACTTTACCTAAACTCGTCTAAATAATGGTTGTATCTAATGCATATCCCAATTCCGATCAAACCATCTCAGTATGTTTTCTTTCTTTTCTCTAGAAAAGTTGACTATCAATACCAGAAAAGTTACATGTGAGCAACCAAAATGCAAACTCCAGAAAAATGAAAGCTGCAGTAAAAGATTAAAAACTATAGAAATAAAAGATTGAAAGTATAGAAAGGAATGATGGCCAACAAGTTCGGTTGACAATTTGAGCTGTACAAGAAAAAAAGAAATATTACACTACATTATTCAACCAAATTAGTCAATTGAAATAATTACTACCGTTATCAGAATCAGAGGGTTGTTGCTGAGATGTGGAAGCATTCCCTTCAATGTCTCTGTTCAATTCAGCAGTGAAAGCTTCCACGTCCGCCCCAGAGTGCATTGTTTCATCCTGCAAATTCGCCTTAATTTTAGAAANAAAACCAAAAAATACATTCAGAATTAATAAGAGAATAGTATCAATAAATTGTGCGGGCGGAGGCAGGGTACCTCGTCTTCTTCGAGGAATTTCACGATGTTGGGATCCATGAACAAAATTCCTCTACTGTTTTGGTGATTCAGCAGTTGAATCGAGGGCAAATTATTATCGGCGTCGGGATCGATTGAGAAAGAATTGGGGAAATGAAAGGGGAAAAAGAGGGGCAGAAAGAATCAAAGGGCTTGAAGATTATCAAAGAGGCTACAGAAAATCGGTGAAGAATGAGGTTTGCTCCTTTATCTTTGTCGAGCGCTGGAGGATTATATGATTCCCAATCGTCATTGTGATGGAGGGGCCATTTTTGTGAGCGAGAAAGGTCCAACTACTAGCTGTTAGCGGATTATATGAAATGACACCAGATTAGCAATTAGATGATAGGGTTAATTGATAGTTTAGCAGGATAACAAATTACAAATGTGAATACCAATCAGCTAAATAACGATGGAAAACTAGAACATATCAGTCTTTAGATGCATGTAATTCCACTGCTTCAGTTCATATGAGAAACAGAAAATGGAGATAATATAACTATATAATCATACAAGGATGTAATTCCCTGGGCCTTAGTATTTCTAAACTTCAGAAATATTACACTGTCAAACAACCAAACCTACCACTAACAATCACATAATTCTTTATCATAAAATTTGCCCGTATGAATCAAATTCAAGCACAACCATTAATAAATTGCCTCACATCACATCTTCGACACACACAGAAAGAACTAATTCAACTAAACTAAACATTACAAGAATGAGAAAAATCAGTTTGACGCATAAATAAAATACATACCAGCCCTATCGCAACTCCAACGAGTAAGAGAAGCGACTCCGACGAGTGACAGAAGAGGCGAAGGTGAAGGAAGGAGGTGAAAGCGAGATGAACGGTGAACTCGCGTCGAGGCAGAGGCTCAATCAATTCTGATTTATTCGCGTGAAGGTGAAGAAGAACGGGAAAGAGAGGAAGGTGATCTGATTTCTGATTTAATTCCCAGCCCTAAAATACAATCGGTCAAGTAATTTAATTTAGGCATTTTATTAGTTTAATTTATTACTTTTTAACTAATCTATATATATATAATTGTTGTCAGAGCAATAAATAAAATCTCTATATAGGTCTCCGCTCTTTTTGTCAATTAAATTTTAATGTGGAACAGTTATATTCTTCATTAATAAAGTGTAACTAATGTGGTACTCGTGCGATGCACGAGCTAGTACTATTAAGAAAAGTTAGATTTGTATAATTAGATGATTGGTCAGAATGTCAAGCGTATGTGTTGGAATAAAATAAATTGTTATTTATACATTATTAAACACAATATTCTTTATTTATTTTTTTCTACATCGCCACAACTTAAAATCTTCATACTTTTACTATTCGTGACGCGTGAAATATCTATATACAGCTGACCGTGACCGAACACCGATTTCTCCAAAAATAGGCCAAAATGCGATAAATATTAACCCGGACTCTCGTTTATTATTATGGCACAATAAGCCATCAGTGGAAAACACATTAACCTTAGGAAGCCTTAAATATTCGTTTTCTAATTCATACAAAATTATTTGGAAAAAATATCAGAAACAAATATATTAATACATAAAGAGTTTATAATTAGACTGATGTAAAATGAAATTTCAAAGATAAATGTGCGAAACATACACAGGATGATTTTGTTAACTATAATTTTATTTGTTATAATTATTTATAAATAATGAACATAAGATATTTATAAAACATTACACTAACCAATCTATATAATCTATGGCGCCCATATGGGCACCATATGGTACCATAATCTTCACGATCTAACGCCTAATATTCATTGTGGAATTGATAGAATGGATATTAGGCGTTGGATCGTGAGATTATGGCACCATATGGTGCCCATATGGGCGCCATAGAATTTCTGATATAAACAATTGGAATAAAGTAAATGGACCAATTAATGACCCATTATTCGTATAACATTATTGGCATTATATATCTATACTTATATAATAAGATTTACCATTTATCAAAAATAGTAGGTCAACTCTATAGTCAAATTCGGACATAATTAATTAGTTTCCATTAATGACAATTTTTTTTTTTAATATTTCACGAACACTATTAATTAAATGCAGTCCAAATGAGTTTGTTACATTATAAGGCAAAAAATGGGGCGAGTTTTTTTGGGAAAAATAGAAATTTGCGATAGGATTTAAATGTATCTGACGGATATTGTTTTTATGATAGTTTAAAGAAACAAATAGTCCCTTATATGAAGGGATTTACGGCTACATCGGGGGAAGAGAAAGAAAGAGTTCCTCCCTAGCTGGAAGTGATTGCGAGATAGTGATCTCTGTTGTGGTGGTGAATCTCCAGCAGTGCCGGCAACTTCAAAATACACAATATCCAGCACGTGATTAAAGGATTCCGTTGAAGCATTCTAAATAATTTAAATAATAAAAAATGCTGATTTGTTGAACGAATTTTTTGGTACTAATTAAAATTATCTTCCCAACTCAATTAATTACATCATCATACATACTGATATAAAGCAAAAACAAAAAAGAAAGATATTGATGTAAAAATACTATAACTAATTTCGACTTAAATTAAATAAAAAAAGTACATGCACATTAAAAATTAAATAATTATCAATCGCCATACACAACGATACAGTCTATATACATCATATGTGAAAAAAAAATGCAAAACGAAAGCATATTCCACATAAAATCTTCAAAAACCTATTTTATAAAGATACGCACTTACAATTTGTTTGCATATAAGATTTTTTTCCGTTTTATTTTCAAAAGTCCACATTCAACAAAATTCTACAAGATTTTTTCCGTTAAAATACTCTCTTTAACAACAATATATATATATATATATATATATATATATATATATATATCTTACCACCAACATGCATTCACCGTACTACAAACTCATATCTTACAAGAAAAAAAATCACTTTCTCTGCAATGGATCAAGCATTTGGGTTAATTGGCATCATCTTTGTCTTTCCCAAACATGGATCTATATTCACTTGAAGATTTCGTAAGTCATAGTTCTACAAATATGATTTTTGTATACCATGACGAATGAAATCAACGGTGACCAATTAGAAAATAGATACACCGATCGAGCTTATATTTTTTTTTAGAAAGAACACTCGGCCGATTAACATAAAAAAAAAAAAGACATTTTGGACATAACACGATATTTTAGGGATAAAACTCATGCGGCGGAGAGAAGGGTGAAATGAGGATGAAACCCTCACAAAAATCTGATTTTTCATCTTATATAGGCACGTGAAAATAAATCCGATCCGTTCATTGTTATTTGACTTTTTTCTAGCCGCTAGATATGCAATTTAGGCTTATTATATTTGTTTGCTTATGGACCTCAAAATATATATATGTAGTCTGTGTTGTTGTCCATTTAGGCCTTAAATTTTTTTAGGGAAAATTACACTTTGCCTACCAAACTATTCGTTTTTTTACACTTTGCCCACCAAACTTCGTTTTGTGACACTTAACCAGCAAAACTTTGTGAAATGTTGCACTTCACCTGTTTCCAATCACCGGCGGCCATTCTCAGGGGCTTTTCTGTCTTTTCAATCTCTAAAACAGAGATAAAATTGTCTGAACACATGTATCCTCCCTTATAACTGATCTTAAAACCTAAATTGAAGAAAAAATTCCCAAATTAAAAAAACCTAAATTGATTTTTGAAGAACCCAACGCCAGCTATCAGTAGGATTTTTCAAACGCGACGGCGATTTTTCTCTCGGCCTTTAACCTAACCGCAGCTCCGCTCAATCGATCGTTTTGACCTCTTCCGGCGACGGCGACGCCGTCTTAGCGGCCGTCGCTGGCCGCCCATCCTCCCTTGCCGACGTTTTTCCTCGGTCTGCAGCCATAGCAACTTCTCTCGTCTCCTGTCTGGTGGTGGGTGGAGAACGGCGGCGGTTCCGATCGTCATCCGGCGGTGTCCTCGATGCTGCTTGTTGCGATTGGGAGTGTAGGTAAGTTCTCCATCTTGATCTGGTTTAGTCTGGAGGAATTGGATTTTGGTGAGTTTGGGGGTTAGGGTTCAAATTGGGGCTCTGAGATTTCTCCGACGGGGTCGTCTGAAAGGGCTTGATTCGGCCCGTTTGGGTGTAGTGGTTCTGAGTATTGGTGTGGGATTGGGTCGCTTAGCTGGGGCTCGGCTCCGGCTGGGTAGGGGGCAGATGTGGCGAGAGGGAGTCTGTGCGTCTGTGGCTGTGGACGAGGGTCGGCGGTGGTTGGGTGGGGCTTTGGTGGCTGCTGTGTGTCTCATGTGGTGGTCGCCGGAGTTGGAGTTCGGGCAGGTAGCTGCTATCCTGGGGCAGCTCATTTTGGGTTGCGTGGGATCCGGTATTCTCGACCAGGGCTAGTGGTGTTAGCCTAATTCGGGTTTTGCTGGATGGGGTGGCTGGGCCTGTTCTCCTCGGTCAGTGGGTGCTGTCCTTTGGTTGGGTTCGGGGGCGGGGCCCTGCCTCTTGTTAGGCCTGCGGCAGTTTCGGGGGTTGGGGCTTGGCTAGGGACCTATCCTACGGTCAGTTGTAGCTGCTTCTTCGACTTAGTTGGTTCTCCGGGAGAGGGTCGTTTTATTTTGTTTAGTGTGTTCGTCATGTGTATTCCTTTAGGTTTGTTGTCATTTTCTTTTGTTCGGTGTGTTTATTGTCTTTGTTTTGGAAATGAATACAGGCTAGGCATTGTGCAGTGGCTCTGTTATTTATTCTCCTTTATTTTCGGTTGTGGAGTTCTCTAGGCCGCCATGTGCGTGTCCTCTCAGTTTGCTATTCCTGTTCTTTTCTAGGCGTGTTTTTGGTTTGGGCCGTTGACCCCTGTCTCATTACCCTGTTGGGGTCTTAGATTACCCTGTTGGGGTCGTGTAATTTGTTCTCTTTGCACTTTTGTGCTTTTTATAGTACTTCTATCGTTTCGGAAAAAAAAAAAGAACCCAACGCCGCTCTCCGTTTCGCCCTCGTGAAGAACCCTAGCCGGACCTCCCTCTGCGTCAGGGCCTCCGCCGCCTCGAACACAAATCCAACGGTTCTGACATCAGGAAACGGCGTCGGCGGCATTTTGGCAGCCGATCCTTTGCGCACGATCGTTGATTCCAGTTCAATCGACGTGGATGCGGTGACAGAGGCAGAGCTGAAGGAGAATGGGTTCCGTAGCACGCAGCGGACGAAGCTGATCTGCACGATAGGCCCCGCCACGTGTGGGGCGGAGCAGCTGTAGGCGCTGGCGGTGGGAGGGATGAATGTAGCGAGGATTAACATGTGCCACGGCACCAGGGAGTGGCACCGGGAGGTAATTGGGCAGGTGAGGAGTCTGAATGAGGAGAAGGAGTATGCGGTGGCCATCATGATGGACACAGATGGGAGCGAGATTCACATGGGGGATCTCGGTGATTCGTAGTTTCATTGATTAACAGTTCATTTGGGTTGTTCTTCTTTTTTTTTTCTCAGAATTTTGGCACGATTGTAAGAAAGGAAACTAGGGTTTTTTTTTCTTTCTGTCGCGTTCAATTGAACCTCAATTGGGATTTGAGAATTTTATCCTTGTTTTAGAGATTGAAAAGACAGAAAAGCCCCTGAGAATGGCCGCCGGCGACCGGAAACAGGTGAAGTGCAACATTTCACGAAGTTTTGCTGGTTAAGTGTCACACAACGAAGTTTGGTGGGCAAAGTGTAAAAAAACGAATAGTTTGATGGGCAAAGTGTAATTTTTCCATTTTTCTAATAAGGTGGCCCATTTTAAATAGGCTTTTAAATGTAATATATAATGCCAATAATGTTATATGAATAATGGGTCATTAATTGGTCCATTTACTTCAGTCCAATTGTTTATATCGATTGGTTAGTGTAATGTTTTATAAATATCTTATGTTCATTATTTATAAATAATTATAACAAATAAAATTATAATTAACAAAATCATCATGTGTATGTTTCGCACATTTATCTTTGAAATTTCATTTTACGTTAGCCAAATTATAAACTCTTTAGGTATTAATATATTTGTTTCTGATATTTTTTTCAAATAATTTTGTATGAATTAGAAAACGAATATTTAAGGCTTTCTAAGGTTAATGCGTTTTCCACTGATGGCTTATTGTGCCATAATAATAAACAAGAGTCAGGGTTAATATTTATCGCATTTTGGCCTATTTTTGGAGAAATCGGTGTTCAGTCACGATCAGCTATATGTAGATATTTCACGCGTCACGAATAGTAAAAGTATGAAGATTTTAAATTGTGGTGATGTAAAAATAAATAAATAAAGAATATTGTGTACTAAGAGGTGTTTTATAATATATAAATAACAATTCGTTTTATTCCAACACATGCTTTACGTTCTGACCAATCATCCAATTATACAAATCTAATGTAATATATAATGCCAATAATGTTATATGAATAATGGGTCATTAATTGGTCCATTTACTTCAGTCCAATTGTTTATATCGATTGGTTAGTGTAATGTTTTATAAATATCTTATGTTCATTATTTATAAAATAATTATAACAAATAAAATTATAATTAACAAAATCATCATGTGTATGTTTCGCACATTTATCTTTGAAATTTCATTTTACGTTAGCCAAATTATAAACTCTTTAGGTATTAATATATTTGTTTCTGATATTTTTTTCAAATAATTTTGTATGAATTAGAAAACGAATATTTAAGGCTTTCTAAGGTTAATGCGTTTTCCACTGATGGCTTATTGTGCCATAATAATAAACAAGAGTCAGGGTTAATATTTATCGCATTTTGGCCTATTTTTGGAGAAATCGGTGTTCAGTCACGATCAGCTATATGTAGATATTTCACGCGTCACGAATAGTAAAAGTATGAAGATTTTAAATTGTGGTGATGTAAAAATAAATAAATAAAGAATATTGTGTACTAAGAGGTGTTTTATAATATATAAATAACAATTCGTTTTATTCCAACACATGCGCTTTACGTTCTGACCAATCATCCAATTATACAAATCTAACTTTCATTAATAGTACTAACCCGTGTATTGCACGGGTACCACACTAGTTACATTTAAAAGCCTATTTAAAATGGGCCACCTTATTAAAAAAATTTAAGGCCTAGATGGACAACAACACGGGCCACAAATATATATTTTGAGGTCCATAAGCAAACAAATATAATAAGCCCAAATTGCATATCTAGCGGCTAGAAAAAAGTCAAATAACAATGAACGGATCGGATTTATTTTCACGTGCCTATATAAGATGAAAAAACAAATTTTTGTGAGGGTTTCATCCTCACTTCACCCTTCTCTCCGCCGCATGAGTTTTATCCCTAAAATATCGAGTTATGTCCATAATGTCTTTTTTTTTATGTTAATCGGCCGAGTGTTCTTTCTAAAAAAAATATAAGCTCGATCGGTGTAGCTATTTTCGGATTCTAATTGGTCACCATTGATTTCGTTCGTCATGGTATACAAAATCATAATTTGTAAAACTATGAATTACGAAATCTTCAAGTGAATATAGATCCATGTTGGGAAAGACAAAGATGATACCAATTAACCCAAATGCTTGATCCATTGCAGAGAAGTGATTTTTTTTCTTGTAAAATATGAGTTTGTAGTACGGTGAATGCATGCTGGTGGTAAAATATATATATTGTTGTTAAAGAGAGTATTTTAAATAAAAAAAAAAAACTTGTAGAATTTTGTTGAATGTGGAATTTTGAAAATAAATCGAAAAAAAATCTTATATGCAAACAAATTGTGTGCGTATCTTTATAAAATAATTTTTTGAAGATTTTATGTGGAATATGCTTTTGTTTTGCATTTTTTTTAACATATGATGTATATAGACTGTATCGGTGTGTATGTGCGATTGATAATTATTTAATTTTTAATGTGCATGTACTTTTTTTATTTAATTTAAGTCGAAATTAGTTATTTTATTTTTACATTAATATCTTTTTTTTTTGACTTTATATTAGTATGTATGATGATGTAATTAATTAAGTGGGGAAAATAATTTTAATTTGTACCAAAGAATTCGTTCAACAAATCAGCATTTTTTATTATTTAAATTATTTAGAATGCTTTAACAAAATCCTTTAATCACGTGCTGGATATTGTATATTTTGAAGTAGTAAATCCCTTCATATAAGGGATTATTTGTTTCTTTAAACTATCCTAAAAACAATATCCGACAGATACATTTAAATCCTAGAAAAATACTACAAGTACATAATAAATGTACATAGAGATGTACATAACACTCACATGGAGTGGGATTCACTTGATTTTTTATTGTTGGTAGGACCCACTTAATGTGAGTATTATGTACACCTCTATGTACACTATTATATACCTATAGCATTTCTCTAAATCCTATCGCAAATTTCAAATTTTTCTCAAAAATACTCGCCCCATTTTTTGCCCGTATAATGTAACAAACTCATTTGGACTGTATTTAATTAATGCTATCCGTGAAATATTAAAAAAAATAATTTGCCATTAATTGAAACTAATTAATTATGTCCGTATTTGACTAAACAGTACTATTTTTGTTAAATGGTAAATCCTATTATATAAGTATAAATAATAATTTAAACTAATTTTGTAATAATTAATACTAATTATAATAATTAATCCTATTATGTAATAGTTAATACTAATACTAACTAATTATAAATGTACATTAAATAATATGTGAAAGTTACATACTTATAAAAAATTATATTGCAATTTTTTTTCTTTAAGATATTTATTCTACAATAAATATTATTTTTTCGTTTTATCAAGCGATTTTTCTCTAATATTAGTTAATTGACATGAGTGTCATAACTAAACTTCTTAAAATTACATAAATAATTATTATAGCAATAATAAAAATAATTGTAATACTTTTCTAACTAATTAATTATATGGCTCCTCTAAATTATAAAATTACATTGTCCATTAAAATTCATGTCATCAATATAAAGATTCACAGCAAGTTAAATAATTTATATTTATATCGTATACCTGTATATAGTAAAAAAATTTAAAATGTAATACATCCATTATTTAATTTAAAATAATAAATATTGTACGTATACATATAATATATAAATTTATATTTGTCTATGTGCATGTACACAAGTACGAATATTAGTATAACTTTTATTAGTGCCTAGTAAATTAATACTCTATCTATTATCTANAAAACTAATAGGTTCTGTTGTAATAGAATGATTAAGTTGTGGGTGACAAAATATTGATTAATTAAAAATCTATTATCTTTTTATTTTTATTTTCATGACATATACTTTTTTAAAAGATATGCACATTTCATTCATTTTAAAATGAGTACAGTTCGAAATTGTATAATTACAAATTAACTAATTATTTAATAATACTCTTAATTAATTTTGCTATCTCATTTTTTAATAATTTATTACCATAGTTTTGTTTCATTCTTAGTGTTAAAGTTAGAAAATTTGCTAATATTTTTAAACTGGAATTTAAATTGTAAACAACATCAAGTCTTTAAAACGACACTAGTTTAAATTGATGCGCATGAAATCCCTTCTTAATATAATTTCAAAACGTGCTGAGCTTAAATTGCTGCCTCGCACGCTTCGGAATCTTAGTTGGCAACATTGCTTTTAATTAGGATAAAGGCTTTTGGTTCGGATAAAAATTAATACAATTATATTTCAAAATAAACCAAAACTCTTCCAACTACACGGGTTAAAAATCTTATACCAATCAAATGTTAAGAATCCTATATCAATAAGAATCCTATACGAATCAAATCTCATCCAATTATCTATACTTATATTAAAGGGGTACTATTTACTAAATTAAGTAGCCAGAAAAGTCAACAGCATTTATTGCATTACTATTTCCGTATTATACTATATAAAAGGATATTCTATTTACTACATTTACTATCCAGAAAAGTCAACTGCATTAAATGTCATTACTATTTTGGTATTATAATATTTTATTTATTTAATTAATTTATTTATTTGTTTTATTTTAAAAAAGTAAGTATAATAAAAAGACTTTAATAATAAAAAAATCAAATACCAAATAAAAATTACACTTTGACTTATTTGATTATATATGGTATTTGATTATACCAAATATATTTCTATTTAGTATATGCATTAAATACTTACTAAAATATTTATTTGTTTTATTTGTCAAAGTTAAGTATAGATTTGTTTATATTATCAAATCATAAAAAAATATTAAATCCATATTGTAAAAAAAAATCATATAATTTTATAACAATTTTACTACACTATTTAACAATATTCTTTTTTCATTATATAATAAAATAATAATTAAATATTATATAGTGAACAACAATAAGTAAAACTGTTACTTTCTCTTATATCAAGGGATATATTTATATGCTAAAATTAAATTTTTATTAGTCTAAATTTAT